TAACAGTCGTAACCTTTTCCATCTAATTAGGAATACGGGCCCTAGGAAAATAGGCGTAATTGAGGTGACTAAGGAATGCAATGGCACGCTGATTCACGATCAGTAATGNNNCGCAGAAACCTTCGTGCGGATGCCACATACGACACAGCGCGCAAATCCCTTAAACGCCAGCTCATCAAGAGTTTGAGAAATGACCGCGAGAAGTGGTAGGCAGAAAAGTATAAAGAGATGGAGAAAGCTGCGGCTATTGGTAACAGTCGTAACCTTTTCCATCTAATTAGGAATACGGGCCCTAGGAAAATAGGCGTAATTGAGGTGACTAAGGAATGCAATGGCACGCTGATTCACGATCAGTAATGCCGTCTTGATCGGAAAGTGGTGTTCGTCAGGGTTGCCCTCTTTCTCCTTTTCTATTTAACTTTTTTATAGATCTGATTATGGAAACAGCCCTATCCTCGTGCCAGGATAGTGGCATCGATTTACTCCCAGGTAGCAGGCTGTCTGATCTGGAGTTCGCAGACGACATTGTGCTACTAAGTGAAGATCCAGGTAAGTTGCAAGCATTTCTGGATAACTTGAATGCCAGTGTAGCCATATTCTGTATGCGTTCTGCACCTTCAAAGTGTAAAATGTTACTACAAGACTGGGTTGGTCCAGCGCCCAGCCTCACTCTAACTGGGGAAGTAATAGAGCAGGTGGATAGGTGTTGTTATTTGGGCAGCCACATCTCACCCGGTGGAGGCATCGCGGATGAAGTGTCAGCGCACATACAGAAGGCTCGGTTGGCATTTGCTAACTTGAGACATCTGTGGCGCCGTCACGATATCCGGCTGTCTGTGAAGGGTCGAGTGTATACCGCGACAGTTCGACCAGTTCTGCTATACGGCACATAAACTTGGCCATTAGGAAAACAGGATAAAGGCAGACTGTTGGTGTTTGAACACCGCTGTCTACGCAGCATTGCACGAATCTGGTGGGATAGCCGGATGAGTAATGATGAGGTTAGGCACAGAGTTTTGGGTATCCGCGGGTGCCCACTGGAGCAAGTGATCGACCTCCATAGATTACGTTGATTGGGACATGTGTTACGCATGTCACCAGATAGGTTACCACGACGAGCGATGTTTGCCAAAGCAGATACCGAATGGACAAAAGCCAAGGGTTGTCAAGCTAAGACCTGGCACGAGGGTATGAAAACCTTAACCAGGAGACTGGGTCACATAGGTCCTGTTAGGCTCCCTGGCTGGGGACCTCGGGATGATCGTAACCGATGGTTAGAGACACTGAGTGATATGGTTGGGTGTCGCAACCAGTGGCGTTCGTGCATCTTCTCAATTTCTTTTCAACCTTAGATCACTGAACTTCTCCATTTTCCTTTCGATTCCACTTTCAACTTTCCTTTATTCTCCTATTCTTCATCCAAATGGGCAGCCAAAGACCGACCAAAACCGGCGCACAAAAGTGCATGGTTAATGGTTGTACAAACAGAAATCCTGGGTTGTGCTTGGGTTTCAAACGCAATTCTGATGGTTTCTTGATCATTTTATCGTACCACAACTGTATGACAGTCATAATCAGTTCTGGTGTTCCTAGTTACTTTCAGAATTTTCGGACCGTCTCCGCGGTAGTTAGGAGAACAGGGTTGACGGCTAACTCCCGTAGTCAAGACCTGACGACATCCAATCAAATCACAAATGAACCACTGCTCCTGACAGTCATTTTCCTGG